AAGGAAGGAAGGAAGGAAGGAAGGAAGGAAGGAAGGAAGGAAGGAAGGAAGGAAGGAAGGAAGGAAGGAAAAGATAAGGTCCAAGGATAAGAAAAGAGATTTTGGAGACACTCAAAAGTTCTTAATCTTCTAATTCGCATTCCCCATGTAACTTGAGGAAATAAACAAACTGAGAAATATGATCTAAAATAACACTTAGTCCTGAGTGTGACAGGCACTGCCTCAAGAACACAGGGATCATCCTCACATCAGCAAGTGACTGGCAGAGACAGTGGTCCTGGAGATGCTCAGGCAGAGGGATAACTTCATGCTCGGAGGGGCAGGCGGGCCTTAAAGACATGGATTGGCGATTTTAAAAGGCTCATCTAGGAAACATTCCAGTACTTACAAATAAAGCCCTGGAGACCTATCAGCATGTTGAGCCTTTCTGCTTTTCTCACTGATAACCAATGTAGAGTGCCATCTTCCCACAGATATCTTGACTTCATTATCTGCCTGCATAGACTTGACACTGGTCCTTAGGTTGAGAGCAGAGGACTGAAGCTGGTTGGGCAGTTTAGAGACAGGGACCTGGATTCTCATCCTTGGCTGGAAACATCTTTGATTCTGTTCTGGACAGGACCCAGAAGTGACAGAAAGGGCCCCTTGTTCCTTTTTTTTCTCCTTTTACATACCTTAAATGAGCCCTGCTTCCTGGAAGCTGTATGTAGAGACATGACCCAAACTGAGAGGCATGTGAACATCTTGCATGTGGGCTGACAAGATTTACTAGCCCAGGCCCTCATGCCATGCCTGAGTTTCTACCACAAGTCCTATCAAAGGCCCTAGATCAAGTGGCTGAGTGGTGAGCCATTCCTGGGGACCCGATTCTGTCTTTTCTCTCTTGAGCTCCTTACCCACATTCCTACAATAACCCTTCTTTCTAAACTCACCCTTCCATTGTCTATAAAATTCATCCTCCAAGTTCACAAGATAGAGGACCCAAAAGCCACAGGCTTGGGGTGGCGCTGGTGCTGTTGATTTGCCTGGAGCCTGAGCTCCCTGAGCTTTGCATATTTGAGGCTATCACGTCTCTCATGTGCAACAACCCCCCACTTTGCTCTGTTTTACCTAGATGCCCAGGAAGGTCACCCCTGAGAGTCTCCCATTACTTTCCACATATTCTTAGTGGGTTTTCCTAGAAATGAACCTGAGATGATGATTTCAGTTCAGTTGGATTCAGAAGATGGCCCTAAGAAGCACTAGAAATTGAATCAAGGAAGGACAGGAAACCAAGGTGATGTGGGATGGTTATGGCTACCGGTCACTGGAGAATCATTTCACTGGGAACCTGTAGAGATGATAGAGAAAGTGACCAGAGTTGTCCCGCCAGGCTGGTGATGAACTACCATAATTATTCACCAACTCCCATCTTCCATTGCCAGAGAAGTTCCTATACAAGGACCGTTAGCTTTCTACATATCTGTTCAATGTAGACGTCATATGACAGAGATGGCACCCAGGGGGAACTCTGTTGTGAAGCCCTCAGCATATACACATCAATAAATGGTGAGGTGTCCCAGGCAGGCCACCAAGAGCCTCTGCTGTACCCACTGATACCCCTCAACTTAGGCCGGAGTGATTCCCTCTGGGTAGCCAAGGAGCCTCTTACAAGCGAAACTTCACTGGAAAAGATTTTAGCAGGAGTTTTAGATTCATGGTAACTCTTTGCAGGGATAAATCTCCCTCCCATAATCATTATTTTTCATTTATTCTAACTGGCCTCCTCACTCCCAAGCGCCTACTATCTGAATTAGTGTCATTTCATTGCCTTACCAAAAGTTGATTCTACATAGTAAAAATCTCAATAAAAAGTTATAGGAAGGGATCTGAAAGAGAACTTAAATCTAATGGACATGACAGTTTCCTTCTCTGGAAAAGTCCCCTTCCATTAATTATTTATAGGCTAGTAACGGTATATCATGAATTAGGAGAGCGACACAGGCCATCCATCTCCTGAACGTACAATTAGTGACAAGGCAACACTGGCTAGAAATGATTAGACATTCAACAAACAAAGTCTCTTCATGTTTACAATAAAAAAAAAAAAATAGCCAGGGGGACTGAAGTCAATGAAGAAAAAGTTTGTGTTCCTGGACTGAAAAATGGGACTGACTAAAAGATCCAGAGAACTGATGATTTATATACTCTACAGCCAATGCTACTCTGTGAAGCCTGTGAACTCAGCAGTCAAACCAAGAGACAGACGTTACAAGTTACAGAAGAACGACACACTTCAAAATGGCGCAACTGCAAAGGCTAAGAACTACCCAGTCATGGTAGAAAGAGCGAAAAGTCCATCTCCACTGACCTTGGGTATTCTTTCTATTGTAGAAAGTAACTGAACCTGTGACACTCTACCATGCAGTGATCCTGGAAGAAATACACCCCCCCACCCTGCCTTCCCTTGGTCAAGAGATTCTTCACACAAAAAACAGTCTCTCTTTCAAAGTCTGATTGTTCGGGGCTGCCTTCTCCAGGCTTTCAGCTTGCTAGACCTTGTTTATGCTGCCCGTCACTCTGTTCTAGGAACTGAGAATGAAATGATGTGTTGGTTGACTGCGTGAGTGATGACAAATGCTAGCCTTCTAATTTGGGGGAAAATGGGAAAAAAAATCAAAACTAGGAGTCTTTGGTAACATTTGTACTAGACTTTCCATTCGCTTAGGTAGAATTCCCAAGCATCCGGGAACTAAGAAGTGCTGTGGAGTACAGTGGGCTGTGCTGGGTGGCATGTGTGGCAAAACACTCCTAGGTGGGTCGTTTGTGACTACACCTTGCCTCCGATTACGTGGGTAATGTTAGGTGTCTCATTTCTTCTGTGTGCTAAGGGAGCTCTTTGGATCCTTCCAGCTTCATTATGACAAGGGTAATATAGGTCACTGAATCCACACCTCCTCGGCATTTTAGAAGAGTCAGGAATGAATTAAAGCAATGTTCAAGATGTGGAAACCCTAGTGCTTAAAAGTCGGGCCGAGCCAACGGTCCTCGGGCTCACACTGCTGTTCTGTTAAATCACCATCTGCAGGGAGCATCCTTCGACAGCTAAGAACCAAGGCGCCCGTGAGGATTCTGGAGGCAGGGGCTTCATGTCACTCTGTGCCCGTCCACTGCAAGTCCTGTCGTCTCTGGTCACGAGCTGGGGAAGAGGGCGCCCTAATGGAGTTGGTGCTCGGGTGGTTTTCTAACGGCCCTGAAGTGGATGTGGGAGAGAAACAACCTTTTCAAACTTCAGCCGTGCTATTTTTCTTCCTGGAAGCTGTTTGGAGTTCACCTCTGGGGGCCTGTGGTGACTGTGGAGGGAGAATGGAAGGGGCTGGGCACATTGTTCGGGGCCTTTCCGTCTTACAAGGCAAGAGCTCTTAGCGCACAGTATGAGCCTGGCAAGAATAACTGTTCTCTGGCATCACAATAGAAAATTCTGTCTGTGGGCAGAGCAGCAACTCTGAAATATGCTTCCATGGCCGTATTAGAAAATAAATGGGAAAGTTTTAGAGCAATTTTAGGCTCACTGCTAAATTGAAAGGAGGGCTCAGAGACACTCACACGAGCCTGCTGCCTCCACACCTGAATTGCCTCCCCTTGTCAACAGCTCCCCAGAGGGCACATCTGTTCCAAATTACTAGCCCACATTCCGTTTCATTATTACCCCAAACCACAGGTTGCATGCAGGCTCATTGTGGGTGGTGTACAGCTCACGGTTCTAACCAATAGATAATGACCTGCATCTACCATTACAGGAACACGCACAACAACTTCACTACCCTGAAAGTGCTCCATTACTGACTTTCCATTCCTGCCATACTTACATCTTTGCCCAAATGTCCAGTGAGTGACAGGTTATAGCCTTTTTCAGACCAGCTTCTTTTCCTTAGTAATAGGCATTTGGTTTCCTCCATGTCTGTCCATGGCTCGATTGTTCATTTTTGGCACTGAGTAATATTCCATTGTCTGTAGCATAGTTTTTCTGTTTACCTACAAAAGGACAACTTGGTTGGCTCCTTCAAAGTTTTGGAAATTACAAATAAAGCTGCTGTAAATATTCACATGCAGGTTACTGTATATACCTCCGTCCCTCCCTCCCTCCCTCCTTCCTTCCCCCCCCCTCCTCCCCCCTCCCCTCCCTCCCTCCCTCCCTCCTTTCTTATAATCCAGGCTGGCTCAAACTTAATGTGATGGTTGTTTTTGTTTGTTTGTTTGTTTTTTGTCAACTTGACACAAACTAGAGTCCTCTGGGAAGAAGGAAGCTTGTTTGAGAAAATACCTCCATCCGATTGGCCTATAGGCAAGACAATGAGGGCATTTTCCTGACTGATGTAAAAGGGTCCATCTCATTATGTGGTGGCAGTGCCACACTGGGCAGATGGTCCTAGGTCATGTAAGAAAGGTAGCTGAACATGCCATGAAGAACAAGCTGGGAAGCAGCATTCCTCCATGGTTTCTGCTTCAGTTTCTGCCTCTAGGTTCCTGCCCTGGCTTCCCTTAGCGATGGAGAAGACATTAGAATGTAAGCCAAATCAAACGTTGCTCCCAAAGTGGGTGTCAGTGTTTTTATTACAGAATTTTATTACAGCAAATTGAGATGCTCTGTAATGTTCAGGAAACGTCACCACGCCTGGCTTACATGTGTGCAGCTTACCTGAAAGTAGCCAGCAGTACACTTGCTGGACTGTGCGGTGTTTGTGTGCACGCCGTCTTTCAAAGCAGCCACACCATTTCATATTTCCACCAGCACATGAGGAGGCTTCCTGCTGCCTCACAGCCTCCCTGGCTCTTGGTGACAGTGCTCCGGATGGGGCCAAAGGCAGCAGCACCTCTGTGTCAATTTACATTCTCCCTGGTCATAGCAGGGAGAAAGCGTCTTTCTTATGTGCCGTCTGTGTGTGGACTTTGATTAATCTCTGTCAAGTCTTTGATCCAGTTTTAAACTAGATTGTTTTCTTACTGTTGTGATTTAAGACTTTTCTGTGCACTTCAGGCAGCAGTCCCTTGTCAGACATGTCTCCACAAATATTTTCTCTGTCAGGGACATCTTCTCATTCATTTGACAGTGTCTTTTACGGGGCAGATATTTTCCTTTTCAACAAAAACTACTTTATTTTTATTTCTTTCCGGAATTGTGCCTTGGTTAGTTATATCTAGAAAATCACTACTGGACCCAAATTTATCTAGGTTTGTTCAGCTGTTATCTTTGGGGGACAGGTTTGTATTTTACACTCCAGGCTATAAGCTTCTTTACTTACATTTTGCAAAGGCCATAGGTTCTTTTTTCTAGGTTCTTCTGGTGTGTGTGTGTAGTGTGTATGTAAGTAGCATGTGGTGTGTATGTATGTCTCTGTGTGTCTTTGTGTGTTTATATGTGGTGTGTTATGTCTGTGGGGTTGTATGTGATTCTATGTATGTAGTATATTTGTGTGTGCTGTATGTCTATGTATTGTTCCTTTTGTTCTTGTGTAGTGGGGTATGTTGTGTGTGTTTGTGTGTGTTATGTCTATATGTGATGTGAGTGTGGTTGCATGTATATGGATATGTTTCATGTGTGGTGTATCTGTGTATTGTTTTTTGTGTTTCTGCATGTCATATCTATGTGTGTGCTGGGTATGTTTATGTGTAGTATGTGCTGTATGGTGTGTGTGTGTTGTTGGAGATATACTTGTATATTGTTTGTTGTGTGTATTCATGTATTATGCCTATGTATGTGATGTGTGTATGGTTGCATAAGTGTTGTGTGTGCTTATGTACCTGTGTATGGTATGTCTGTCTGTCTGTCTCTGTATGTGTATGATATGTGGTTAGAGTACATGTGGAATATTTGTGTGTGGTATGTCTGTCTGTCTGTCTGTCTCTGTATGTGTATGATATGTGGTTTGAGTACATGTGGAATATTGGTGTGTGGTATGTCTGTCTGTCTGTCTGTCTCTGTATGTGTATGATATGTGTGGCTAGAGTACATGTGGTATATTGGTGTGTGGCATGTCTGTGTACTGTTTGTTGTGTGTGCCTGTGTTTTTTGTCTAAGTGAACAGTGTGTGGTGTTGTGGGTGCTGCTGTGCAGTTGTCCCGGGGTCTTTGTTGGGATGACTCTGCACCCCACTGCTCTTGCTTCTTTGCAGTAGATTGTGTCTATGTGATGCACTCTGACCTTTCTGCTCTGCTCCATCAATCGATTTGTCTTTTCTTCCCTGGCAGCATGCTACCTTCATTACTGCAGCTACGCTCTGATTGACATTAGATAGCGTCTGCTGTCTAACTTTCTTCTCCTGTCTTGGCTCTCCTGGGTCTTTTTCCTCTCTGTATAAAAATTACAGAATTCATTGTTTACAGCCACAGATGAGTTTGCTTTGCTGGGAACACAAACGGAGAACTGGCCCTCAATTAACGTCAGATCTTATCCATGAACATGGGTTCTCTTCTCTCCATTTGTTTTGCTCTTCAATATTTTGAGTTTTGAGTTTTCTGCATGTAGATTGTGTTCACATTTTGCTCGATCTACTCCTAGATATTACACTTTTCAGGAATGTCAATGCGAATAGTATTTTCTCTTACTCTCAAATTCTGCTTGTTTATTCTTACTATGCGTAAAAATAATACTATGAGTGGCAGCTTTTGCTGTTAGTCTTGATGTGGTTCCATCACTTGCCAGGATATTTTTGTCATTTCAGGTTTTCTATAAAGACATTCATATCACCTGTGAACACAGTTTCCTTTCTTCCTTTCTTGTCTGGATTCTTCTAACTCTTTTACTGTTGTCTAGGACTTCCTAACAATTGGAAGACCAGTGCAGAGGAGACAGCCTTGCCTTGTTCTTGGCCTTGGTGAAGAAGCTTTGATGGTCTTAACCATTAATGTGATATTTGCTATAGATTTGTTTCTGTTTTTTTTTTTTTTTTTTTTGCAGATTTCCTTTTGTAAGTTGAGGGTGTTACCCTTCTATTCTTAACACAGTGAATTTAAAAACATTATGAATAGTTGTTAGATGTTTTCATTTTCTTCTGTATCCATTTGTATAGTTGTATGACTCAGCTTATGATACAGTGGATTTTTGTTAATCTTGCATATCCTGTCAGTTACAATGTGTGTTCTTGAAAAGACGCTTGCATCTGTTCCTAAGAAAGACATCTCTGATGTAGTTGCTTTTTGCAGTATAGACTGAATATTCTTTATTGGAAATGTTTTGAGCAACTAGTTTTTTATATTTCACAATGTATCAGATTGTAGAATATTTATGTGAATTTAAAGCATTCTTAACCACAACCCTCAAATCCAGACTGCTTCACAATCTCACACTTTTGGAGATGTCAGTGTTCAAAATATTTCTGATTTCAGAACATTTGAGGTTTTTGAGGGAGAAATACAGGTTGAATACAGGGATGTTCAACCTGTATTTCTCCCTAGCTTGGGGATTCAGGATATTCAAGTCTCATGGAATGAGTTAGGAAGCATGCCTCTCCTTCTCTCTTATTAGAATTAATAATTTTCCTTCACTCTGTGGGAGTTTACCAGTTAGCCATTATGGGCATAATTCTTTCTGGTTTAGAAAGTTTTTTTTTTTTTTTTTAATTTTTATTGAATTTCTCAAGTAGAGTAGAACCATTCAAGTCATTTGTAACTTCCTGTGTGCGTGATGGGGTTTGTTGGCCAATTTCATCTTTTAAGGAATTTAAGAAATTTAAGGATTTCTTTTAGTTTATCACTGGCCTGGGGGGATTTCTCAATGATCCTTTCAAAGGTGGTGACATCAGTAGTCATGCTATTTCACGTCCGACAGTAATAGTTTATCACCATCACCCACTCCCCATAGCTTAGGCGGTGTTTTGTCTGATCTTTTTATTGCTATAATAAATACCTATCTTGGCTCATGGTTTCAGAGGATTTGGTGCATCATAGCAAGAAGGAGGTGTTAGAGCCAAGCAGTTCATGTCATGG